GACAGAAAGAGGGTACAGGAAGGACATGGAACTAAGATGATACGACTAAGGGATAGAGAGATCTGGCGCCCTGTTCTTAAAGGTTAAGATCTGAGGTTGATACCAGCCATGCACAAAGCCAGGCTTATTTCCCCAGTTCACTTTGAGAGCCCTGACACACTTACAAGCCTCCATTCCAACTGTCAAGCACCAGCACGGAGCCAGTCACCATTGGCTGCTGGAATAGCCCCAGGGGCTGGGAAACTGTGGAGCTTGGTGGAGCCTTGGATTCTCCTTCCCACTCAGCAATAGCATAATGAGGCATCAGCCCCACCCTTTCCCTGGTAATGGGTTAGCTTGCTTTCTGTAGCTTTAAATATGCATAATCATGCCACATTAGTGTGTACCTTTGATCCGAACTATACCTCTGTGAGCTGAACAAAGTCAAAGTCAGTCCACACGAGCCTCCTATTCTAGTAAAGGAAAAGGTTCAGAGAGAAGGACTTATCTAAGGTCATACCACTTGTAAGCAGCAGAGAGAGCAAAGTCTCACAGTCGTCACCCCTATTCCTTCCTAACCAGAAAGCTTTGTAAACAGGCCAGGCACTAGGCATGATGGCTGACACCTGTAGTCCTGGCACTGCGGAGGAGGGTAAGGCAGGATTGCAGTGTTTGAGGCCAGACAGGACTACATAGTAAACTCCTGGCTAGTGCAAGACCTTGCCTCAAAAACACAAAACTAAGAGGCTGGAGAGATAACTCAGCATCTCTCTTCCAGAAGACACCAGTACTCACATCATTGGGCAGTTTACAACTGTTGAGTGGGAAGGAGAATCCAAGGCTCCACCAAGCTCCAGAGGATCCAAGGCCCTCTTCTAGGCTTCGACACACACACACACACACACACACACACACACACACACACACACACAAATTTTTAAAATATTTTAAGTGTTGTGAGAAATTTAGGTCCAAGCTTTTGACCAGGCCTCTCAATACTTGCTCGAAAATATTTACTGAATAATTTTATGTGCAAGGCATACTACCCAAAGCATTTAAAAAACAAAAACAAAAACAAAAACCAAAACAGCTGTTTTAAAGGTTTTTGGCTTTTTTTTTTTTTTTGGTCTTTTTGAGACAGGGTCTCCCTGTAGCCCCAGCTGTCCTGGAACTATGTAGGCCAGGCTGACCTTGAACTCACAGAGATCCACCTGCCTCTGCCTCCTGAGTGCTGGGATTAAAGGCGTGCACCACCATGCCTGGCTATTTTTATTTATTTTTTATGTGTATGCTGTATTGCCTCCATGTAGGTAAGTGCACCCATGTCATGCAATGCCCATGGAGGTCAGAAGAAGTTGTTGGATCCTCTGGGACTGGAGTTACCGACAGTTGTTAGCTGCTATGTGGGTGCTGGGATTCAAACCTGGGTCTTCTGCAAGAACAACCAGTGTTCTTAACCACTGAGCCAGTGTCTCCAGCCTCTTAAAGGAACTTTTTAAACTAAGATTTATTTTTAAAATATGTGTTTGCCTGCACATATGTATGTGTACCATGTGTGTGCCTGATGCTTTGAAAAGCCAGAAGAGGACATTGGATCCCCTTAGAACTAGAGTTACAGATGGTTGTGAGCTGCCAAGTGGGTGCTGGGAACTGAACCCAGTTCCTTTGGAAGAGCAGCAAGTGCTTTTGACTGCGGAACCGCAAGGAACTTTATTGACAAAACAGACATCCGGGTAAGGTAGCAAATTGTGGTAAAAGACCCCAACGAGTAAGAACCATTTCACAGGTTACATAATCACTAAAGGGGTGACAACAGTCATAGAGGGTGTTTCTGAGGAGGGTAGATTTAAGTGAGTGTTTTGAGAATTACAGATTAGCCAAAGAGGGAGGGAGAATGGAGGGGAAGGCAACCCAGGAAATGGGAAGGATATTCAGAAGGCTTGGGAGTCTGTACAATGAAAAAGGAGAGACCGACGTGAGGCAATATTTTATCATGCATGGCCTGGTGGCCTGAGGACTTTGAACTTCATTATGAATGTGAAAGAAGATGTTGAAAAGTTTTTTATTTTACTTTGTGTGTATGAGTGTATTGCCTGCATGTGTGTAAGTGCACCCGTCATGCAATGCCTGTGGAAACCAGAAGAGGGCACCAGATACCCTGGAACTAGAGTTACAGACAGTTGTTAGCTGCCATATGGGTGCTGGGAATTGAACCTGGGTCCTCTGCAAGAGCAGCCAGTGCTTTTAACTACTGAGCCATCTCTCTAGCCCAGAAGTTTTTTTTTTTTTTTTTAAATATTATTTTATTTCATGTGTATGATAGTACTGTCTGCATGTATGTAAGTACACCTGTGTCATGTGCAATGCCCACAGAAGTCAGAAGTACAGACAGTTTTTAGACACCATGTGGGTGCTGGAAATCAAACCTGGGTCCTCTACAAGAGCAGCCAGTGCTCTTAACTGCTGAGCCATCTCTCCAGCCCCGCCCCCCTTTTTTTTTGACACAGGGCTTCATTTATAGCCCAGGCAGGGATGAACTGGCTATGTAGACCAGGCTTACCTCCAGCTTGTGGTGATCTCTTACCTCTTCCTCCTGAGTGAGGATTGCAGGTATTCACCACCATACTCAGCCATGAAGAGTTTGCTTTTGATGCTAGGGATTGAACCCTGAGCCTTGTGCATGCAAAGTATACACTCTACCACCAAATAATACCCCATCCCTATGGAAAGGTTTTAAATAAGGCAGTGCATCCTCCACAAATTCTGTACACATAAAGGTCACCTTCTGGCTGATATGTAGATTGGATGAAAGGGATACAAAAACAGAAGTGGGGACATCAGGAGACTACTGCAGTATCCTGGAGAGAAACTAAAATTTCAGAGCATCACTGGCTGTAGAGCTGGAACAAGTGAGCTGATTTAATATGTAATTTTTAAGAAAAAATTGACAAGTCCTGCAAACTGATTATGTAAATAAAGATGACAAGAATGCCTTTTGGTTTTCCTACTTGAATAACTAGGGTACAGAGATAACTTTTTTTTTCTTTTCTTTTTTGAGACAGGGTTTCACTATGTAGCTCTAGCTAGCCTAGAATTTGCTGTGCAGACCAGAGGAGCCTCTAACTCAGAGATCCACCTTACCTATCTTGCCTCCCAAGTGCTGGAATTAAAGGTGCATGGACTATGGAAAGTTTTTTAAATTATGTGAATGTGTATCTGTGTGTGGGTATGTGCATTTGAGTGTGGGTGCCTGATAGAGGCATTTTATCACCCTGGAGCTGAAGTTATAGACTTTTCTGAGTTGACCTGACATGGGTGCTAGGAACCAAACTCAAGTCCTCTGGTGAAGTAGCAAAAGCTTTTAACCACTTAGCCATTAGACATAACTTTTGACTGAAATGAAAAACACAGAACAGATTTTTTTTTGGGGGGGGGCACGTTTTAAAGATACCACATTTGATGAGCCAGGGATAGAGGCTCATCCACTTGGCAGCTGAGGCAGGAGAATTGCCATGAATTCAAGGTTAGTCTGACCACAGAATGAGACCTTCTCTCAAAAACAAAAACAACAAAAAAACCCTTAAATAAATAAATAAGCCTCACATTTGTGAGCAACGGACCTTTAAGGAATGAATTGCGAGACTGACAATTTCCAAAGTTCACAGAGTAGCATTTGGCATAATACACTCCATGTTTTTCAGCTAAAGGCCCAGGGCAACTGAGGCAAGTATGAATTAGGATCTTCGTTTTACAAATAGGGGCCCTGAAAAGTGTGGTGTCAATCTTCACAGGGCACTGCCATCTCCCAGGCTGTGTCGGGTCATAAGTGTGGACAGGAAGGCAGGTCTCAGGGATGACCCCATCAAATCCAATCGTGATCCCCTTGCAGAGAACTATGCTTTCCTGTCTTTAGGTAGGTGAACAAGTTTCAGGACAAGAAAAGCCAGGAGTTATCAGACATAATGTAAGGAAAAGTGACCTATAGTTAAAGACTATTTTTCCTTCTCTAAAGAATATATTCCTGGGGATGGCAAGATGGTTTGGTGGGTAAGGGCACTTGCCACCAACCAGAGGACCTGAGTTCAATCCTTGAGAGCCGACTCCCACAAGTTGTCCTCTGTTCTTCACACATGTGACCACACATGTACATACAAATATAAAATGTAATAAAATTTTTAAGAAAAAAAAGTTTTCTCCCCAGAGTTTCAAAGAAAAACAATGGACTTTCCAGATCTCTTAGGTTCTGATTTTCCTGTCTTCAGTGGGTGTAAGGGGCACAGCTCAATGGTAAAGTACCCGCTTAGCATAGGCAAAGCCTTGGGTTTGATCCCAAGTCATCCACCCCAGTCCACACAAAGGGCACACAGAAAAGCTGGAAAGGAGAAATTTGTAGCTTTACTTCTCAGTTCTCTTTAGCCCGGGAAGGGCTGCCTAGCTTTAGATACTGTTTGGAGAACTCAAAGAGAGCGGTAATAACCTTTCCCTTGTACCCAAAACAGTCCTGACAGACACATAAGGTCAGCTAAAGAAAAAGAGCCACTCAAAGGACAGAGACAATAAGTGCCATTTATGTACACTTTCCTCCTGACCCACTCTGAATTCAGACCACTGAGTGAGTTTACTTGCTCAATTCACAAGGACGGAGAAGCCAGTGAAGGCACAACAGCAGCACCTTTTCACTCCACACCCAGGGGGCTTTCTTAAAAATAAAATGCCCCTTTATCACTAGACAGGTACTGACCTAAGAATGAGCACCCAAGCTGGACAGCAAACCCTGCCTTCAAAGACAATGGGATTTATTGAAAACCTATATACTTATTAAAACAGCTTTATATACATCTCCCCCAGTACAAGATTACAAATATACAAACATGAGTTCTGTCCAAGTCAGTATCCTGAGTATTAGAAAAAACAAAACAACTATAGAAAACCTACAGCTTAATTTCATCAGTTAAACTGGGGTTCCCTGTCTCTCACTAAAGCTATAGCATTCACATTGGAATGGTTTTTGCAAACTGGCACCAATGTTCAGTTTTGGGGGGGGAAAATTCATGTAAATTTCTGAAAGCCTCGTGGCAGTTGAAGAACAGGAGAAGTGATGACAGTTCTCATCAACATTTTTATTCAATTCCATGGTGGTTGTCTCTCAAAATTAGAATGAAATATTAAAATATTCTCTGGTCAGGGCAACATACTCAGCCGTACAATACAATAAATAATGGTTGTGTTTCTTCTTGTCAGGCAAGAGAATGAGGCTCTCCAAGTGCTTCAGTTTAAGAATTTAGTCCCAGGAAAGATTATCCTCCACAGGTTATCTACTGTGGATGGGTACTAGGTATACCCCTTTATTTTCCTCCCATGCTCCAGAAAATTAGGTGCCAGCTTAAATCCTTATTATAAAGGCAGTAACGGTTAATTAGCAAGTCAAAGCTACCCTGGGAAGAAGCAAATAAGAAACAGAAGGAGCAAGACTAAGGCAGCAGCCCACCTGCTGCTTCCCAGTCCTCCAGCTAGTCTCTCTGGTTAGTCTCTCTGACCCAGTCCTGGTTACCAGGCTACAGGTCTTATGTGTGCGGAGGAGTCATTCTGGCTTTCAGTGCTGTCTGTAATTTTCTATAAAGCCACACTTTCTTCTCCAAACACCTTTCCTTCAAAGTGGTGTCAACCCAGGAAGCTGCTAGGAAAATAATGCCAACTGCTTCACGGAGGAAGTGAGACTTCAATTATTCCATAAGGCGATGTTGGAAACTGTAGAAATAAGATGAGCGGCCAAACTGGAAAATGCTAGCAAAGGAAAATGCTGTTGAGAGTCATGTAGTAGGAACAGCTGGAATTTCTGTCCATAATCTTAATGCATTGAGTATGAGGGAAAGAGAAGTCATCAGCATGAAGGTCAATTTCAACCTTCAGTGCCAGAACTTTTCAGAGCAATCTCAGCATAGAGGCTGGCATCCCTCAATGGTGTTAGCTTTCCAAGTATCTGAAGATGCTTCGTTTGGGTACTGGAACATTATCATCTGTCTTGAGGCGCTTAGGAGAAGGGGATGTTACTAATGATGGCCCCCTTCTTCTTACCTAGAGAGAGCAAAGAGGGAATGAGGGCCAGTTCAACTCTCACACAAATACTTACCTTCAATGAGCTCCTTAGTAACTCAGTTAAATCATGGATGATAACAGAAAGAAATAAAGTAAAAAATATAAACTTTGCAGCTGGGCGTGGTGGCACATGCCTTTAATCCCAGCACTGGGGAAGCAGAAGCAGGCAGATCTCTGTGGGAGGCCAGCCTGATCTCTAAGTAGGGATTTCTATGTAAGCCAACTGGGGCTACAGGGAGACCCTGTCTCAAAATATAACACTTTGCAGGCAGATTTAAAAGCTAATTGGTTAAGCTGTTAGATCAGAATTTCTATTGACTTTTTCTGTGCATAAATATGTTTGTGTTTGTGTGTGTGTGCTGTGTTTGTGTGTGATGCATGCACTTGGGTGTGTGGGTGCATGCACGCACATGTGTACATGAGGAAGCCAGAGAATGCTGGGTGTCTTCCTCTATTGCTCTCTGTCTTATTCCTTTAAGATGGGGTAGTCTGTCACTGAATAGGAAGTTCCTCGTTTCAGCTGGATGGTTAGCCAACAAGTTCCCAAGATTCACCTGTCTCTGCCTGTCAATGCTGGGGTTACAGACAATGCACAGCCATATAGCCATGCCCAGCTTTTCACATAAACGGATGGCTAGCCAACAAGTTCCCAAGATTCACCTGTCTCTGCCTGTCAATGCTGGGGGTTACAGACAATGCACAGCCATATAGCCATGCCCAGCTTTTCACATAAATGTGAGGGATTCAAACTCAGGTCCCCATGCTTGTACAGCAAGTGCTCTTACCCACTAAGCCATCTCCTCAGATAATTTTTTAAAATTATTATTTTTTAAAATTTATGTGTATGAGTGTTTTGTCTGCATGTATGTAAGTGTACCACATGTAGGCAAACCCATGGAGGCCAGAGGAGGGTGCTGGATTCCCTGGAACTGGAGTTAGGACGGTTGTCAGCAACCACATGGGTGCTGGGAACCAAACCTGGGTCCTCTGTAAGAGCAGTCAGTACTCTTTAACCACTGAGTCATCTCTTCAGCCCCCAATTTTTTTTTTTAAATTAAAACAAAGTCTATTTGGGGGAAATACCACAGCAATTATCAAATCTCCTACCCGAGGCTTAGATGATTCCTTTGCTGCTTCTGCCTTGACAGGAGAAAGTGTATGAAAGACAAAGTTTCTTGAATTTCGGGGAGCACTGGGGTTGAGATCAGAGAGGGCAGCAAGTTTCTGAAGCACAGCCTTGGGTTGGTTTAGCAATGAGCCCGTCTTCGGCTGAGGAAAGAAGAGTCAACTGATATTAAATTGCAAGTGCCAAAAAAGAAGGAAATCAGTCAGGGATAGGTTTCTACCTTACTCAAGCAGAAAAGACACAGCAAGACCCTTTGACATCCACTTTCATTCCTGTGGCCACTTCCCCTCCATGAACAGCACAGCCTATTCCCTTAACTTGATCTACAGACGAGGAGGTCAGATTAACAAGGTCCCAACTAACCTGGTGAGCACTTCCTGGTCTGATGGCTTCAAAAGGGTTACTGGGTATAGACTTTGATTCCTGAATAACTACAGCACGATTAGCTGGAAAGAAAAGACAAAAAGGACTGTTCTGGGCAAAGCTGGGTAGAATTCCTTTTATACCTAAACAAAGGCATAGCTCAAAAGCAAACTGAGGTCATAGGAACCCTGCTAATTTTATACTCACAACTTTGAAACTGATAGGCAGTGTCACTAAGCAGACAGACAACTAAACTGAACTTAGCAATTAATCACTAACAAGGACTAGTTTAAGGAAACACTGCAGTTGGTTAAGAGTGTGATGTAGTGTTCAAGAGCCCATTTCTGGAGTTAAATTACATCTGTGTTTAAATCCTAGCTCCAACACTTAGGTATATAATCCTGGGCAACTAAACGCAGAGAAGCCAGAATTCACTACCCAAGCCGCAGTGCATAGAGCAAAACAAGCTACATAACCTCACAAGTACAGCTTCTATTGACCAATAGCCCAAGATCCAAGTATACTGCCTCTCCTCACCTCTATGGGCCTCTTCAAGCTAGTATCAGGCACCAGTTTTATGGTTAAGCTGCAACAGTCCCTGAAGGTTAGAGTCTCCCTCTAAGGCTCCAGCACTGGCAATCCAAGCAGTTAGACCCTAAGAAGAAACAAAGCTCACCATTCTTCTGCAGGGCTTTGGCTGTAACTTTCCTGGCTAGCAACATAAACTGACTGTCTTCCCCAACTTCTTCTTCTTCTTCAGCTGTGATTTTCCCCTGTTGTGCCTGAACATAAAAATCATACATTAGGCCAGGCATGGTAGCCCACGCCTTTAATCCTAGCACTTGGGAGGCAGAGGCAGGCGGATCCTCTGTGAGTTCGAGGCCAGCCTGGTCTACAGAGTGAGTTCCAGGACAGCTGGGGCTACGGGGAGACCCTGTCTCAAAAAAAAAAAAAAAAAAAAAAAAAATCATACATTAGATAGCACCTACAAGGCTGAGGCAAGAAATCATCATGAATTCAAGGCCAACCTGGGCTACATAGGGAGTTAGTTCTAGGCAAGACCCTTACTCCAAAACAAACAAACAAAACAAAAATTTTAAAAATCATATAACATCAAGATAGCTACAGCTTTCTTAAATAGTTACTGCAGCCTAAGTCATGAAGTCAGATCACTGAGAAATCATTTGTTTTCCTTTTTACAACCTTTGCTACATGAGATCAAAAAGAAAAAAGAAAAACTGGACCATCATGCAGACAATTGCCCAAGGTAACCTTTCAGTGAAAAAAAAACAAACTAAGATTAGAAGAGTTAGCAATATGTTGCATAAATTTTTTGAAATTATCATGACAAGCTAAATGGCTGGATCTTTTGTGCTCTTAAACAGAGGCCAGAATAGGCAATCATCTCATAGACTTTCTACCTGATCCCGAAGCCACTGCTCTCGTTCAATCCGCTCTTTCCTCCATCTGGCTTCTGTCTCATCAAGCTGTTCTTCAAACTGATCATCATCAGAGTCTCTGTGGAACAAATCCATCTGGGATGCATCATCTAAAGTAAAGGGGTAAGGCTTTTAGCATTCTGCAAGTCTCAGGAGAGGGTGGTCAGACAGACACAAAGTAACGCCTTATTTACTGTACTCTGACACAAACTTTCCCAAGTACAAAGGGAAATCAATGGTTACAGTTAGGTCCTCCACACAGCTTGGTTTTAGTGTTTTGGGTTTTTTTTGCTTTGAGACTGGGTCTCAAGTAGCCAGGCTGGCCCTGAACCGCTGATCCTCCTCCCTCCACCGCCCAAGTATTGGGATTATAGGCGTGTACCACTATGCTTGGGCTCCTTCCCTTCCCCCCGCCTCCCCCCTCCCCCCTCTTTCTTTCTTATTGTTTTAATGCAGTGCTCAGGATAGAACTCAGGACTTTATGGATGTTAGGCAAGCATTCTAATTAACTGAGCTAACATCCCCAGAACTGTGGTTTAGTTTGGATTGTCATTTACAATCTCAGACTAAATAAAAAGGTACATCAGAACCATTTACTTCTAAAGACAGCAACCAAGATACCTATGTTTTTCCAGCGAAATTTCCTCATTCGTCCAGGTCCATCGCTGTGCAGATCCCCGTCAGCAAGGTACCTCTCTTGGTATAAACGCAGTCGTCTCTTATCATCATCCAACATAGTTTTCCTACAAAGGAAGAAATAAAGTGCTCAAAACCAGGACTGTTCTGTCTGGTCACCAGGGCCTGTCTTAAGAGGTCCTATTACTTAGAAGAGCTTATTGGGATACTAACATGTGTATTTTCTTGATTTGACTCTCCAGTTCCTCATCAGAAGGAAGTACTTCATCAATCACGTCTTCTTCATATTCATCAATCTCTTCCCCATCATACTCGTCTTCACTTCCCACATCACTTCCTGACACCTCTGCCTCATCCTCCAAGTATCTCTTCAATCTCCTAGAAAGTAATTTAAAAATTAGAAGTCACGACAAGGAATACATACACTGCATATGGATACGATAAGAAATGCAGACATAGTCACTGTCTTCAGTGATATAGCCACTGGTGAGTTACCCATGCTCCAGTGGACAGCTCCACATCCATGCCCAGCATCCCTAATTAAACCCACTATGACACAGAGCAAAGACAGAAACAAAAGACAGGAAAGTGGGATAGGGCTTAGTGAGGGGTAGGGGATAGGGAAGGGGCTTAGTGGGGAAAGGATGGGACAACTGCTAGGGTGGGGGGAGGATAAGAAAGGGTAGAGGACCAAGTGTGGTGGCACATGCTTTTAATCCTAGAACTCAGGAGGCAGAATTGGATAGTATCTGTGAGTTCTAGCCCAGCCAGGGCTACAGGGTAGAGACCATCTTAAGAAAGCCATACCAGGGCAAGGGTGGGGAGGTGGGCAGAAGGAGAGAAATGTATTTCATAATATATGAAACGGTCAAAGACCCTGCACTCAAGAGGTAGAGGCAGGCAGATCTCTGTGAGTTCAAGGCCAGCCTGGTCTACCTAGCAAGTTCCAGGCCAGCTGGGGCTACAGGGAGATAAAAAAAACAACAACAACAACAACAACAACAACAACAAACAACAAAAAACAAAACCCTGTCAAAGAATAAATTAATAAAAGAAAAGCAGAAAATAGAACCATTTACAACAATAAGCTTAAATTTATAATAATACATTTTGATAATATCTAAAATACTGTTAATATTTAAAAGTTGATCACTTAGAGCCTGGCATAGAGGCTCACGCCTTCAATCCCAGCACTTTAATCTCAGGGTGGCCTTGAACTTGTGATCTTCCTACTTCAGCACCCAAGTAGCTGGGATTATGGACCTGTACCACCACCTTGGCCTACTTATTTTTTTTTAGCTTCATTCTCTTTGAGAAAAAGTTGGTTATCACCCTTGGGTTTGAAGTCTTGTTATCTATTGTCATAAGAGGCAGAAATTTGGTGACTTTGAAAGATGACTTTTTATCAAAGATGTACATTGTACTTTAAAATAGTTATCATGTTTATTTTACATGTATGAGTGTTTTCCCTGCATGTCTGTAAGTGCAACATGTACATGCAATGCCTGCAGAAGTCAGAACAGGGTACTGGAGCCCCAGAACTGGAGTTAAGGATGACTGTTAGCTGCCATGTGAGTGTTAGGAAACAAACCCAGACCTTCTGGAAGAACAGCAAGTGTTCTTATCTGCTGAGCCATCCCTCCAGCCCCATACCTTGTACTTTTTTTTTCTTTTAAAGGTTTCCTCTAAATCCTATGGTTCCTGGGGATTTCCTTTAAGGGCTCCTAGTCACTAAGTTTCCCCATCTTCCCACACAATCTCTTTGAGAAGTTCAACTTTTAGCTGTCATTCTTTAAAGACTTTGATTTGAAAGAAGAACTCTGCAATTAAATAAGTTTTCAGGATCACTGCCTTGGGAAAAAGAAAAATCTATGGATAACCTAAAGCTGTACAAGATAGTTAACCTGACAGGTGACAAATTAGAACCCTAGATGGATCTTAATAGAATGGAATGATAGGCTAAAAGCAACGATATAAATCTAATAGAGATCAATATGATGTCCTAGATAGGAGTTCCTGTTAGAAATTTTGCCTGTGAAACACTTTAGCATCGTAAGAGATACTTATATACTAAGTTGGGGGGAAAGTCAAAATGCAAAATTAAACACACAGGAAAATTATTCACATCTCAATTATAAAACTATATGGATAAAAAGTTATGAAGAAATCATTACCATCACACTTTTACATACATTCTGGACAATGAACACGAGTAACCCCCTTCCTCCCTCCCTATCTTTGTTCCTCTCCCCCCGTCTCCTCATTCTCCCTTCACTTTTGGGGTATTAGGGATGAACTCGACCTTGTACATACATACTAGGCAAGTGCTTTACCACTGAGCTACACTTTCAACTCCCCATCTCTGTCTCTCTCTCACAGACGTGTGTGTGCATGTTTGTCTGTGTGGTACTGGGGTCAAGCCCAGGGCCTCAAGGCAAGCACTCTATCAACCGAGCTACATCCCAGGTCCACATATTCTTTTGATAAAGAGTGGGTCATTTGCTCAAGATAAGAATGAAGAAAACCTGGAATGGCAGTCATTCATACATAAGAAGGACGTTCCGGGGAACTCCAGTTATCTACTAGCTCCATAAGTTAAAAGAGTGTGACTTGTGATCTGTGGTTACATGATCAGCAGTACCTATCCAATACAAGAAATAGCCAGACCACGCCTGAATACAAAGAGAATATGCAGGACATGAGGAGAAGGGAGGCAAGCCCCTGAGAATGTCACTAGTTCTGGAAAGAATCAAGAGTTATTTAGTGCAGACATGACTTTAGGAAGACATGACCATTTCTGAGTACTCAAGAGATGGCACATAAAGGTACTTAAAATTTTTATTTAATTAGCTTATTTTAACATTTTATTTATTATTTTTATTTTATATGCATGAATGTAATGCCTGCATGTAGGTAGGTGCAGTCATGCCATGTAATGCCCTCGGAGGTCAGAAGAAGGCGTCGGATCCCCTGGAACTGGAGTTATGGATGGCTGTCAGCTGCCACATGGGTGCTGGGAATCGAATCCCGGTCCTCTCCAAGAACAGCCAGTGCTCTTAACCACTGAGCCATCTACCCAGCCCCTTAGTTTTTGTGAATGCATGCGAATGTGTGTGTGCGTGCATGTGAATACCATAGCACATGTGTGGAGGTCAGAGGACAACTTTGGGGAATTAATTCTTTCCTTTTGCTATGGGATCTGGAGACTGAACTTAGTTCCTCAGGTTTGCATGACAAGTGCTTTTACCTGATAAGCCATCTCACTGGCCCATAATCCATGAAGGATTTTATTTAATCTATGTTAACCACAAAAAGCAGAATCAAACCAGCAAGTCAAAAAGGTAGCAAGCTGTAACTCAAGCATTAGAACTTTCTAGGAGCTGAAGGAATGGACCTAACACCTACATTTGCCTTTTCATCTTCTCAGACTGCTTTAGGAGCTCTTCTTCATCATCATCCTCATGGTCTTCCAGGGTCAGCTCTTCATTATCAGAGTCACTGTATTCATCCTGTGAAAGCACGGCATCATACAGAGTTTAGCAGAATAAAACATGCCCTCAACTGACACAGGGATAACGGGAAACTAATATAGCCATTCCTTGAGCATATAATGAAATTTATTGATTTTGTAGACAGGGTCTGGTTATGTATCCCTGGTTGGCCTCAAACTTGTAAATCCTCTGCCTCAGTCTCTCAAGTGCTGGGACTATAGGCATGTGGTCCAGAGTTAGATCCCCACCACCATAAAACAAAAACAAAAGAAATGACTAAAAGATTTATAGACTTCTATCCCCACATCTCAGTATAGGACATTGCTTCTGATAAGATGTCAAACTTAGAATTCTCAAGCGCTCCTATGAGAACAGACTGAGGGAAGTGACATGTGGAGTTTAGCTATGTTCCCTCTACAACTTACCTCATCACTATCAAATTCATTATCATTTGCGACAAGCCGAAAGTCTCCAAATTCTTCCTCTTCACCTTCTTCCTCCCTAGAATGCAAAGCACTCTAACTCAATAAGTTATTGAAAGCAAACTCCAAGCAGCCAGCTAAGTCAAGGATTTAAGACATTTTAGTAACACCAATAATTTCATTAAAGAACAGGAAACAAGATATTTTGCCTTGTATATTTTATTTATTATATTTTATTTTATGTATATGAGTGTACTGCCTGCATGTGGGTGGGTGCACCCTGTCGTGCATTGCCCACAGAGGTCAGAAGAAGCTGTCAGATCCCCTGGAACTGGAGTTACACACAGTTGTTGGCCGTCATGTGGTGCTGGGAATTGAACCTGGATCCTCTGTAAGAGCAACCAGTGCTCTTAACCACTGAGCTATCTCTCCAGCTGATATTTTCCCTTTTTAAAACATGTTTTGGGGGCTGGAGAGATGGCTTGGCGGTTAAGAACACTGACTGTTCTTGCAGAAGACCCAGGTTCAAATCCCAGCTCCCATATGGCAGCTAACGACTGTTGGTAACTCCAGTTCCAGGGGATCTGACAGCCTCTTCTGTCCTCCACGGGCATTGCACGACACCAGTGCACTTACCTACATGCAGGCAATACATGCATACACA